TGACTACTGCATATCACCGCGAATATCGCCTTTTTCGCCGAGTTTTACGCCACTCTACGTAAAACGGGTCGTGAAACTTCCATCAAAGAAATTGTGTTATCGGTCGTGGAAACATATACGCCTTATAATTCACAAAGAGTATTATATCACTTCATGTGAAACGGTTGAAACTCCAATGTGTTGGTTTCCTACACTAATATAGTCGTATATATAGTGGCAATGTACACACTGGAGCTTCACAACCCGTTTTACGTGAAGTGGTGTAAAACTCGGTGAAAAACGCGATATTCGTGGTGATATGCAGTATTCGTGAAATAGGTTTTTCATTCGTGTTTTTCATATCACGGGTGAAACTCCAATGTTTTTTCCGGTTTATTTGAAAGTTTAAGAGTTATGTTTATACCAAGGACGTGTGCAATGATTAAGATTTCTCCATGTTGGCAAGGTATGCATCTTAGGTTTCAACTGCCGATAGTAAGGAGAGTGTGAAGATTAACAAGGGGGAGACAGTGACGATACGAGTGCACCAAGGTGAGATGTTGTCGACCTATCGTATTACCGAGTGCGAGCTTGTATTCGCTGTTGGGATATATGTTTGCTCTCCTCAGCTCAGCTTAGTAGTTCATTTGCTAATTATGGAAGTTTACATATGACTTGGGGTAGAAGTGCACAGAAACCGACAAGAATTTCTCAATTTTTTTCGCAGAATTTCTAGATACAATACACGTAGTTGACCATATGCATATTCTCCCATACGGGTCTCCGGTGTTGGAATTTATGTTTGCTCTCCTCAGCTAAGCTCGGGAGTGTCCTCAATATATTATGAAAATTAACACACTACTTGGTGAAGAATTTTCCGAAATTTCCTAAGAAGTTTTCTATTGTGATCAACACTCGTAGTTGATCATGTCCATTTTCCACATGTTGATTTCCAACGCGCAAGTATACAAAAACCAACCATAATTTTCGGAAATTTTATTGTCATCAGCACACGTAGTTGGCCCTTTTTCATATTTTTTTCCCACACTGGTTGTCTCAGAGTCCGCTCCTGACGGCTCGGAAAAGAACTCTATCGTTGACGTTACTGTGAATACCAACAACGACGTACGGCCATCATCATCACTGGAGATGTGGTAATCTTTTCCCCTCAGGAGAATAGTGAAATCCCGCCTGCATCTGCGTGGTGGCGAGCTGAGCCACATGGCGTTCGATCAAGAAAAGACTTGCCGCGACAGTGGAGTGTGAGGGCCTTGATGATAGCGCTAGCCGTCTTGTTCGTCTGGGGTGAGCTGCTGCATGTGATGGAAGTGTATTGTTGTTCATCAGGTGTTGCATCGGCGGTTTGGTTATTGTGTCAGTGGTTGAAGGCGTGTACGGCACCACAGAAGAGGGTGTCGAGACGTAGTCGACGTCATCATCACAGTACGCACTAGGATTATGGGGGAGCGCTTATTCTATCATCGTCGTT